CCTGTGACCTCTGGGTTTGATGTTTCAATTACTCTCTCTGTGGGGTGCTACAAAATGTGGGGGGTTTGCTACTAAATGCTACAAACCAATTACAAAACTTTGGCACCGGTCTCGATTGGACAACATTGGTTTTTGGGTGACCCTGTGACCCCCGGATTTGATTTATGAATTACTCCGTTTGCGGGATGCTACAAAACATGGGGTTTTCGTTGCAAAACACTACAAAATGATTGCAAAACTTCAGCACTGGTTCCGAGGGGATCGGGGGTATTAACAATGAACCTGGGTTTGACTTATCAATTACTCTGTTGGTGGGGCACTAAAAATGCAGGGTTTTCACTACAAAGCGATGACAAAACATTGGCACCAGTTTCGAGGGGATCCCAGATTTTGGGGTTCATAGTTAATGAAGCTGTGTTGGGCCCATGATGCATCAGTCAATTCCACTGGTCCCCTCCTCCTCTGTGCCCTTGTTGATGTTGGAAGCTCGTGTTATCACATCAAACAGGGTTGAATCCTAGCTGGGATGGGCAATTAAAGAAAACCAAAAACAAGAGCAGCAGGCTGTGGTAACGTCCCTACTTGTACAGCATAGCATATAAAGCTCTATTAACAGACATATTTCAAATTGTTCAGCAAATAGTTCTAAAAAGTCTCTTAATGTCTTTATAAACTACTGTGAAGGTCAGAAACATGTTTTCTCCTACGGTGCAAACACATCCTAAGGATATGAAATGTCAACCTTGTTAGCTGAAGTGAATTTTAAAGTACTGAGTGAGGTTTTGTCAGATAATCGGCCCAATCCTCATCCTAGGATACTTTCATTCTTTTGGTTTTTTGATGGAGTGGGAAAGATATGTCTTTTCCATTTAGAATCTGCCCTCCCCCCCAGTGTAGATACCAGGGATTCAACACGGGCCTGGGATATTGTTATGTTATTGTTGATTAGCAATAAATGCATTACTACACACACTCTCTCTCTATATATATCACTCTCTCACATACATTCTTAAAAGCTCTTTCTCATGTCAAAGAAGCTGAACTATTAAGCAGTTTATTTTTCCTACAGCAGAGGTGGGTTGCTTTACTACTCCTAATTAACCTGTGTCTGACTCCCAGATATTAGTGGACTACAACTCCCATCATCCCTGCCCATTGGCCATGTTGACTATAAGTGATGGGAGTTGAAGTCCAATAACAACATGCACAGATTACATAGGAACAAAGCACTTTGTGATCTCAGGTGGACTTATTCCCCCCCACACCATTTGTTTTTTAAAAAATCCTGAAAAATGCAGGAGAGCTGGGAGGGAACATATTTAAAATATTGGAAGGACAATATCATAAAAGATGGAACAAGCATGGTATCAGAATCTAAATATTATATCTAAACTAAACATAGCAAAATGCCAAAGCATGTTTGAAATCATTGTTAAAGTATCCTGAACATTTAGATTATATATATGTGTTTCCCCTAATATTTAATAAACCTTCCTCAGCAAGTCTTTAAAATAATCATTTCTTTAATAAATCTCATTCTAGCATTTGGGATTGCTGAGAGTTTACCATGAACATAATATAGCAGATTTTCTTAAGTCATTCATCTACTTTCTTCCTAATATCTAGCAAGCAACATTCTAGCCCCAACCAGTAAATTACAAGAATGATAATCATCATACAACCGTACAAGTAACCACATGACAACTCATTTTTTGTGGTGTTTTATCAATACACAGGGGTGCAGAAGTGAATGTAATCTCTGCACAAAATGAATCTTGATTTAATCATGTGTATGGATCCATCAGGTCTGAATAAACACTACAAAACAATGGCCTTATTCAAACATTATGATAAACAGTAGTTTATAATTAAATATGGTTTATGATAATGATACTGAGCAGACTTCCATCTTCCTTGTCTAGTATGGGAATGAGGAGGTAACTGGAAGCTTTTGCTGCCAATTCTCTTTTTAACTGATTGCAGTTTAACATTATATCCAAATCTGAAGAATTAGTTTGTCTTAATTATGGTTTAGTGAAATAAACCAACTTTCAATCTTGATATATAAGGCCAGCTTGTTTAAGCAAACCATAGTTAAGCGTAACCATAGTTAAGGGTTCTGAAACAATGCTAAACTATGGTTAATTGAACATCAAAACTAGCCTTATAATGGGCTCACTTGAGTAGCAGAGGGCAAGGGCAGCAGCAAGACTTGCACCGGTTCATTTGTGCAATGCTAAACAATGGCTCATAATTTCATCTGAACCAGGTCAATGTGTTCTTGCTTTGTGAGCATACAGTGTTATCAATGTGGAAACAGAGGAAACTGGGAATTAATTTAAAGCTGCAAGAAGACACATACACATGGTGCTTGGTAAAAGGAAGGAAGGAAGGAAGGAAGGAAGGAAGGAAGGAAGGAAACAGTTTCTAAACATTGTTGTTGTTTGTTGTTTAGTTGTTTAGACATGTTGATTCCAATTTGGAAACTTATCCAACTAAGTTTGCCTCAGAGCAGACCAATTGAAATTAGTGAGTTAGGGACATGGGTGGCGCTGTGTGGTGTCTAAACCACTGAGCCTCTTGGGCTTGCCGATCGGAAGGTCGGCAGTTTGAATCCCCGCGACAGGGTGAGCTCCCGTTGCACGGTCCCTGCTCCTGCCGACCTAGCAGTTTGAAAGTACATCAAAGTACAAGTAGATAAATAGGTGGGAAGGCGTTTCTGTGTGCTTCTCTGATTTCGCCAGAGAAGTCATGCTGGCCACATGACCCGGAAAAACTGTCTGCAGAGAAACGTCGGCTCCCTCGGCCAGTAAAGCGAGATGAGCACCACATCCCCAGAGTCATTCGCGACTGGACTTAACTGTCAGGGGTCCTTTACATTTAATACTAATTAATTTCAATGGGTCTATTCATAACTTCACCAACCTTGAATACAACTCAATGACTAGAGAGAAATTATGATGGAGAGAATTTTGGAAGCACCCCACATGTAATATTGCTCTGCAACCAAGCCTTTGAAAGGACGCTGTACCACTCCTTTCCTGAACCTCACAGAGCAAAATGCATCTTAATAAGAACTTGCTTTTTGAGGGACGCGGGTGGCGCTGTGGGTAAAACCTCAGCGCCTAGGACCTGCTGATCGCATGGTCGGCGGTTCGAATCCCCGCGGCAGCGTGCGCTCCCATCGTTCAGTCCCAGCGCCTGCCAACCTAGCAGTTCGACAGCACCCCCGGGGGCAAGTAGATAAATAGGGACCGCTTACCAGCGGGAAGGTAAACGGCGTTCCGTGTGCTGCGCTGGCTCACCAGATGCAGCTTGTCACGCTGGCCACGTGACCCGGAAGTGTCTGCGGACAGCGCTGGCTCCTGGCCTATAGAGTGAGATGAGCGCACAACCCTAGAGTCTGTCAAGACTGGCCCGTACGGGCAGGGGTACCTTTACCTTTTTAAGAACTTGCTTTAATTCACGCCAAATGAAGCTGAGATGCTAAAACCCCTCTGTGTGTATCTACATGCCATAGCTGTCAATGTTTCCCTTTTTTAAAAAAGGGAAATTTCCTTATTCCGAATAGGATTCCTCGCAAGAAAAGGGAGAAGTTGACAGCTGTGGTGCACGCGCACACACACTCATGCTTATGCTTGTGCCCCCTTGCTACTCCTTAACTTGTGTGTATTTTTTCAAGCAGTTAAAAATACAATCCAACACAATTTGGGGGAACATTGTGCAGAATCAAACACATGCTCTTTTAGCTTGTCCGATGCTTTATTTAATTGCCTCATCACAGAGTTTCTTGTAACAACACCAAATATAGAAAGAGCAAGAGAAGTAGGCCTTTAACCCCATTATTTCAATCATTTTGATAATAATCCTGAAGGGTTTTGATGGGACTTGTGCCATTTTTAATACGCGCCAAACTTTAATTCATCTATGTGACACTAAAAGGCAGCAAGCAGACATTTGGGTGTCATCTATTTAATTTTTTGCTCGGAATTCGGCAACTGCTACAACGATCTCTAGGTTAATTACTGTGATTTTAATTTTTTGTTAAAGGAATCTTGGCAATCTCCTTTCCATATACAAGTGTTGCTGTCTAGAGAGGGCTATGCCCTGTCCTCTAAAAATAGATTTGTGTAGGAAGCAAACAAAAGAGGAAGCTATGCGAAAAAAGGAGTCCTGCCATTTTAGTAACTTGAATAGAGACAACAGAGCTGCAAGAGGACACAGATCTCGCAGTCTTAAGACCCTAAGAGGGAAAGTGCACATTGCAGCAACAACAACAGCACTCCCAATGGCCTCTTCTTTATTGCAAAGTATTCCCGGAAAAGGAAGATTTGCACTAGAGAAGGGACAGAAAGCAGAGGAGTGCTTAAGCTTTACCCTGGCAGTCAGCTTCTGTCTGAACACAAATTTGACCTCTGTGTTTTTTGTTTTGTTTTTCATTTTATGGTGAGTGAGAGAGAAACTGCTGGGGGGAAATATACCATGTTGTTGTTGTTTAGTCGTTTAGTCGTGTCCGACTCTTCGTGACCCCATGGACCAGAGCACGCCAGGCACTCCTGTCTTCCACTGCCTCCCGCAGTTTGGTCAAACTCATGCTGGTAGCTTCGAGAACACTGTCCAACCATCTCGTCTTCTGTCGTTCCCCTTCTCCTTGTGCCCTCCATCTTTCCCAACATCAGGGTCTTTTCCAGGGAGTCTTCTCTTCTCATGAGGTGGCCAAAGTATTGGAGCCTCAGCTTCAGGATCTGTCCTTCCAGTGAGCACTCAGGGCTGATTTCCTTAAGAATGGATAGGTTTGATCTTCTTGCAGTCCATGGGACTCTCAAGAGTCTCCTCCATCACCAGAATTCAAAAGCATACCATTTCAAAAATATACCATAGGAACAGTTGAAGTTGCCTGATGCTGAGTCAGACCATTGGTCCAACTAGCTCAGTAGTGCCAATGCTGACTGGCAGCAGCTCTCCAGCTTTCAAATAGGGCTCCTTCTCCCAGCCCTAGTTGGAGATGCCAGGACTTGAACTTGGGCCCTCCCATATGCAAAACAGAGGCTCTGCCACTGAGTTATGGCCTTTCCCTGAGCATGTTCTACCACTTAATTTCTCTGATGCGGATGAGGTCTTTCCCATCTCTCCCATGAGCTTTCCATTGTCTTGAACGTGGTGCACCATTGCCACTAAGTGAGAGGGGGGAGTGAAAGGCAGTGGGAGCTTGGCATGGAGCCATTCGGACCCTGCTCTCACTGCATCTGTGTGGTGCCCATACCACACGGTTCCTGCTGCCTTGCCCCTGCCCCTCCCAGTAAGCAACAGTGATGTGCCATATTCAGTAGGCAGGAGAACAACACCCCTCCACACACACACAACCCCACTGTTCGTAAGTCAGCACAACAGTGAGCCAGAAGGCATCAAGTTGGTGAAAGAGAATGCCCTACAACGTTACTTCTCCTTGTGGGCCATTTGTGAATTATATGGCTCATTCCCCCTAAATAGGCATTTATTTGGCAACATTCATGAATATTTGGTATGCCTGGTAGAAATACATCTATCTATCTCTGTGGGTTAAACCACAGAGCCTTGGACTTGCTGATCAGAAGGTTGGCGGTTCGAATCCCCGTGACGGGGTGAGCTCCTGTTGTTTGGTCCCAGCTCCTGCTAACCTAGCAGTTCAAAAGCACGTCAAAGTGCAAGTAGATAAATAGGTACCGCTCCGACGGGAAGGTAAACGGTGTTTCCGTGCACTGCTCTGGTTCGCCAGAAGTGGCTTAGTCATGCTGGCCACATGACCGGAAGCTGTACACCGGCTCCATCGGCCAATAAAGCAAGATGAGCGCTGCAACCCCAGAGTCGGTCATGACTGGACCTAATGGTCAGGGGTCCCTTTACCTTTATCTACCTATCTATCTATATCTATCTATCATCTATTTATCAATTTGAGATTGCCCTAGGCTTTGGTTGCCAAGGTCAGAGAATGGAACTCTTTTGGAAATAGCCTGGCTCACACACATAGAGTTTTGAGGTTTAGAGTATCCTAAACAAGTATCTTCCAGATCACAAGAGGGGTAGGCAGTGTACTACCTCAACCTGGAATGGATCAGGCTTGCACTAATTTATGGTTAGTTAGCATGGTTGCATACATTATAGCATTATAAAGTGTTTACACCATCATTAAAATTACACATAGCAATAGGATACATTGCAGATCTGTAAAGTATCTGTGAAGAAACAGGAAGCATTAGTTTTAGATTTTAGTTAACCACAGTCGAACATTATCACTGCTCCCACTGAATCTTAACTATGGTTGTTGAAACAAGACCATTTCATAACCTAAAGTTGTATTCAACATAGCGCTAAATCATTGGTCCCATCATTGCAAGGATTTCCCACTGCACAATGGAATGTTCTCTCCCTCCTGCCCTGCACCCCCTAAATCTGCCCTGGGAGTTCTCCCAACCATTTGAAGCAGTTTTGGGGGTGGTCCAAGGTGTGTGTGGGCAGAGGAGATGAGGGAAATCCCATTGTACTAGCAGCAATCCTTTTGATAGCGCTTTCATTTAGTTCAGTTCTTTCAAACAAACCATGGTTTGAAATTCACTTCTTTCAAACAAAGCCTGGTTTACATTAAACACAGTTTGTCATGTCTGGGTGACACAGCAAGCCGTAGTATTAGTAGCAGCAGTAATAGTAATAGGAGTAACACAGAGAAAGAGCTTCCCAATTCCTTCCAACTGCTGCACTGGATGGGTAGAGAGGAAGCCAGAAGGAGGCTACAGTAGGCTCATAATTGGCTTGATAAATCACGGATTATCAGGGTGTCCCAATGCAGCCAGAGAGCCATGAGGTGTGTAATGGCTGGAGGCATCTGAATACCTTTCTTTGGGGATCTAATGTGGGGTAACAGATCTGCTGCCTTGTATGAGTGTATCTTCTTTGTCTTTCCTTACGCTTTCCTTGCACATTTTAAAATAAATCAAATAGCCACCATAACAGCTCAATGAATACACAGAAGTAAGTCCTATTGAATTCAGTGGGGCTAGGATTGCGGTCAAAGTCTCCATCACTCTCCCAACCAAAAAGAACTAAATCTGGATAGCACACCCAGGAATTTCTCACCATGTGGGAAGGTGCAGAGATGCATGAAAGATGCTTAAAGATTATATTGAAAGGATAATGCCTCCTACTAAAATCTGGAAGAAAGAGAGAGAGAAATGTTGCTTGCATCACATTCTCTCAGGGCATCTTAAACCATAAATGTTCCTCAAAGCATTTAATGCCTCTTTAAAAGTCTGGTTTAGTTTTATTTTATAGGGTACATATGACCACTGAGGTAGGCCAATTTCACACTGCAGTGGGTTGAAATGATTGACAATCATGAGGGAGTTTTGATGTGATTCTTTAAAACTCTTTCCACATGATTCATTGGACTGTCATTGCCTTTTCATGCAAATAGTTTTTAATTCATTTTATTTCCTCCCAAAGAGTTCCAGAGATCATAACTCAAGACCTGCAATGCAATCCTATGTAAGGAGACTTGGGAAGAAGTCCCACGGAAACCAGTGCGCCTTGTTCACTAGGGCTGTGCACTGGGTTCAGCTGAGGACCAAACTGAATTGGGCTGATCTGGGGAAATCGGGGCTTTGATCGAGTCAGTTTGATACAGCCGGTGGTTGCTGCAGGTTGGGTCAGGCAGTCCAGAGTGATCCGGAGCTGTCAGGATGTGACATCAGGCAGAAAGAGGAAGAAGCTGTGAAAAGGAGGGACCTCTCCAGGGGCTGTGTGGCACTGGGGGATCCCCTTCCTCCACAACCTCTCTTTCATTCTGCTAGATTCTACTAGAGTAAATGGGAGGATCTTATCCTGTGTGGGGCCAGTTGCTGCTCCTTTGTGAGTGGCTTCTCTTGTGTGCAGGGGAGCTACTCATCGAAGAGCAGTGCCCTTCACGATCAAACTTGCCAGGGCTCAATTGGGAGTCAAGGAGAAGGAAATTCAGCACTTCCTTTCCCTGCTTGTCCTAACCATTCGTTGGACTTACAAAACCCTGAGCCTGTCTTACGAATTGTTTTAGGGACGGATCAGGGAGAGGACAGGTGGTCCCTGGGGTGGCACAGGATGGATGACCCCAATTCAGGGGCCACAGATTGGAGCCATGGGCCGAATGGAGGGGAGCTGAGCACATCCCTGTTGTTTACAAGTATCGTACTTGGATTAGAGTGAAGTTGCGTCAGTTGATATAAAATGACGACATTTTACTTTTACTAGGGCGTGCCTTCTGCTTGCTCCACTCGCCAAGCCCAACTTCAGTTTCCTTTCCTCTCCAAGATGACAGCATATGCTCTGCAGGTCAGCTTACTCGCAGTAACACAAGCTTTCTCTGCCACGGTTTTTGCCCACCCACCCACCCCCATTTCTGTCTTTCTGACCACAGTATCTTCCTGCTGTCTCAGTTTCCCCTTGGGATCACAACATCTCCCCTCTCCATACCTCTGTTTTACACCCCAAGACCAAAAAAACAGCCACAATATTTTCCCCATCACTGAAACCACCCTCTCTCCCACAGAAATGACAATGATTAACCCCCCCGCCCCCGCTGCTGCCCCAGTTTCTCTTTCTCTCTCATCTCCCAGAAAAAAAACCTCCATCAGTGCCACAGAAAGAGGGTGGGAGAGAGAGAACCCATCTGGCAGGTCATGGCAGTAGCCCCTCTTCCCCCCCCCCCAAGATAACCCACTTGGACTCTGAGGGGGATTCCTGCAAGGGCCAGCTTCCAAGACTTGTCTCAGTCGATGTGCCTTTTGTGCCCTCTAGTGGCCCAGACTGCCATCACAGCATGACGACAGACAAGTACAAATAGGATAGAGAGAGAGATTGACCTGGGTTAATCAAGTGGAACTCCCCCCCCTTCTCCCTCCCTCCCCCCTTCTCTCAACACCTTTTAAAAGCCAGTTAAGAGTCTTTTCCACTCCTTACATCAGCAACCCATAATGATGTCATGATCATATGGTGGTTGTACTAGACATAGGTGGTTTAGGAATTTGACGGGGTCAAATGCCCATCATTGATATAACATAAGCATACAGTAAGGCAGGCCTTCACAACCTGCAACCTGCCAAGCTGCTGAGAAGAGCTCACTAGCTATGACTTGTGATATAACAGGTGCTTTACACCACCCCAAGCCTATTTATGTTGTATGCTAGCGTGCAACAATATAATAACAACAATAATTTATTATTTGTACCCCACCCATCTGAGTGGGTTTCCCCAGCCACTCTGGGCAGCTTCCAACACACACACACACACACACACACACACAGCAAAACCAGACAGACAGCAAAAGCCACCGCCATATGCACTGCCACGCCTGTGTTTTATCACAAGATGTTCAGTATAGTTATCTTTGGAGATATTTACTCTCCGCACCCTTAAGACTGCTTGACCCATGTTGCAGGACATTGCATTGACCTATCTCTCTGTGGGAGGCACAGCATGTTTAAAAGACTGAAATTCTCCTAATGAATGTTCTCATGTATCACAAAGAGGGAGGAGGGATGAAGAAACATTCAGTTCCAGGCTTTTGGAGATGCTGTAAGTCACATAGCATGACGCAAAGTGAAGATATTTGAGACCTGTCTGATCAAGACGGGAACTCATTTTCAGAGCTCAAGAGGCTTCATAAATATTTTGCCACACTCTAATGCTCTTTACGCCCTAAGAACTCAGAGCATTTTAGATTAATAACTGAGTCTCTAACACCTTCATGGGGTAGGGAAGAAGGTGCAGGAGGAAAAACAACAATAACCTATGATTATAAACATTAGGGTTTTGAGAAGCATTCTGCACCAGCCAAGATTTATTCTCACTGGAGTAGGGACTCCCCTTGTTTTAAATCATATCAAGGACATGTCGTCTTTTCAGACAATTTAAATGGTGCCATCAGTCTGAATCTTTGATATGCCTGTCGAAAGCACCATCTACAAATGTTATTTCCCCCTTGAACACAAAATAAACCAATGCACCAAAAGGTATAATGCACGGCCTCGAAGATCAAATTCTATTCCTTCCCACTAGTAATGTTT